CGCCCCGCGCCCGCGCCGGCCCCCGACCTCCTCTAAGCTTTCAGTTTTATTTGCTTTTCAGCGTTCTCTGGTGCAAACACTTTCAAACTGCAGTGTCACACCAAGAATTTAAACGAATTAGTCTGTAGAGTTAGAACAGACGAAATCCTTACCGAGCACTCTAATAGAATGTGTTACCAATAATAGCATTTAAGAAACTGAACCCTTTTTAATAACAAATCTGCGTAATCTTCGCCTGCGGGCAGTACCCTGGAAGCTCCAACTCAAAAGTGTTGCTCAGAGCTCTGAAGTCTGTTACAGGTTTGGTCAGACAGGCAGAAGGCGGGAGGGGTCGGAGGGACAAGTTAGCTCCCTCTGAGGCAGCTGTTTAAGAAATTTTGTTTCGTATTCTTTCTAGGAGCCCCGGTTTTAGGAGACGATTTTGCAAATGCAACCTGGCATACACTCTTTTCTGAACGTTTGTTCTCTCCCTCTAATGTTTGTAAGTAACCACCGCCCGCCCATTCAAGGGATTTCATCTCCTGAATTGCCAACGAGGTTGATTAAAAGGTGGCTCTCCTGAAGGTTTCAAAACTTTTCCAGTGCTTGCGAAAACAAAGTAGCTCTTTACTGTAGCTTTAAAACCCTCAATATTACAACACTGACTATATACCTTTTTGTTTACCGGAGAAAATTCTAGGAAGAGACCACGTGGAAGTACCGCAAGGTCTTAACAAAGCACTTTGTTAAGAAGCTTGCTTTGCAAGGCTACAGAAAGAGAACATCAATCAAAATTTCCATATGAAAAAGCACAAAGTGTAGAATTCTGTGGCAAGCATCTGCTAAGCAAATTTGCACTTTGATTTTTGTGAATTGTCAGTCAAATTCCAACTCAGGCCCCTACCGCCCCCCCCCCCTCAAGTTACAAAGCACCTAGACTATTACTGGTTACGAAAAAAGTAAAATTATACTCTAAAATGAAAAACCAAATATCCAGTAAACTTCTGCGTTATTCTAATCGGAAAGGTCTGAATCTTATTTTACCTGTTCTATTATTAAAAACTTTTTAACAGTCAAAAAATAAAGTGAATGTTCGATTTTAACTTTAAAACTGTAGAAACACTTTCAAGTTCATTATTCCGTTTACAGTATCATATCAATGGTACATTTAACACATTAAAAAACTTTAGAAAAGTTTTACTTATAGAAAAAGAAACAAATAGGTAATTGTTTTTCCAACTTACTCTTTCTCTTAAAAGAAGTGAAGTAGGCACGCCAAGTGATTGAACTCCTTAGAGGATGAAGTAAAATGAAAAAGCAAGTTCAGGCACTCAGACCTGTTTGTATTTAAAGTTTAAAAGTCTGCTGCTGTTTGGTGCTTTCCTCACTCCTTCTCCCTAATGAAAGAAAAGTGCTGATACCTCGTAAAAGCTTTTTTCTAACTTGGAGCACAGAGCTTTTAAAAGTTTCAAGCCACTGACTCAACGAGGAGGAGGGGCTAGAAAAAGAGGAGGAGGAAGGGCGGGGAGGCAGAGTAGACCGCAGGCTGGTGAGAGTGTGCGGGTGGGGGAGAAGAGGCAAAGAGTAGTAGCGAGGTCGAGATGAAGTTGTAATTTAAATTTGCTGACGAGGGAAATGAGAGCATTAGAGGTGAGAATGCTACTACTTGAAATTACTCTTTACAGATAACAATTACTGTTTTTTGTTAGTGCTTGTTCCACCTAAAGTCCAGAGATAATGAACAGTTGTATATTTTATAATAGTACAACCCTTTCTAAAATAAAATATATTTGTAACATATATATGTTATATGTATATTACATATATTACAGTAAATAAAAATGGTGGAAAAGAATATAGCCAGTGCAAATTCGTTTCATATTGGCCCAGGTGTGTGAAGTTAAAGGTGGGTGTAAGTTATTTGATGATCTAATTCCTTTTCTCTTAATTTTAAGTAAGGACAATTAACAAAGGAAATGGTGAGGATGAGAGAGAAACATTTCGAAACTGGACAAATGTGGTAGTATGCCCACATTCAACCCTTCCACTGCATTGAATTTTTACTTCAGTTTAGCAAAAGCTATATTTATATTTATAACTCGATTATATATAATATCTTTGACTGTGAAATCTTGATATATCTGACCTCTATCAGATCTTTAGGGAACTGAAAATGTATGGTATCTCAGCCCCATTCATGCTAATGCACTTAAAACTAAATCTTTTGTAGTGAAGTGTCAGAATATTTTTTGTGCAGTACTGTATGGTAAGTTGGTATTCAGTGGGTCCCAAAATCCACTATCAAACTGCCTTAAGACCTTCTCTAACAGTAGAGCTGAGCATATCATTTTTATGCACTTTTCCACCACTTCCATGGCTCCTGCTGTTCAGCATTGTGTTAGGGTGTCTAATAAATAACCTGAATCATGTGGCCTCATTCTTAGAGTGGGCAGCTTCTTTGAAGACTTCCCGGATGCCACATCAGATGGCAATGGTAGGACAATTCCCCATAAACAGGTTTCTGTGATATTCCTGAGGTTGAGCAGGAAAACCAACTGGCCATTATTCTTTGGAAACAAAGCAAATTAATCCACGCTTATTCCTTATCCTTTTCTCACTAGTACGAATATCAGAAAAAAGGGAGAATGGCAAATATTTTCTGGTAGATACCTTTCTCTAAATATACTTTAATTCAAATGCTTAATAAAACACCTTTTGAAATGTTGTAGTTTTAAGACACAATTTTGCTTTCTCATTTATTGGCTATATATACGATTTCCAAGGGTGTATTTTTTTAAGTTAGGGAGAAAAAAGAAAAAGAATTATAATCTGACTTTCAAGTCTTCAAGCTCAACAACTCATAAATATTGTTTTGGTCTTTTGTTTATATTGTTTTCCTTCAAATAAGTCTATTGTTTTGACCTAACTAAAAATTGTTTTGATTCAGAACACATTCATAAAAATATAATTTATTCTTTTTATTATAAGAAAATTTTCCTCCCTCTTTGTTTTTTAAACAGGAAGTCTAAGCTTCATTTAATTTATATAATTTTGGTTTCCTTTTGTAAAATTACTCAAGTACAATCATGACTGAAATTATCCATTTTATTAAAAACAGTTTCTAAAGTGCTAATTGAGAATTACTTGCTTAAAAAAAATTATAATTGACTATTTTATAACAGGGGTATTAAGGCAAAAAAATTGTGTTTGTTTCTAATTATGTTTGTTAGGTCTATTAAAGGATTTTTATGTCTAAGTATTCTGCTATCTTTCTTTTTAGTCTATTGCCTGTATGACAAATTAGAAATAGACCCAAAGAAGTTTTTATACCAAGTTACTCATGGATATCACTTGAACCATCTACAAGCCAAAGATTAGTAGTCATAGTATGAGCCACAAATTAAAAATTTAGTTCTCTTAACGTATAGGATGTTCTATTTCTAAAACCATTTTCCCATGATTCTTCATAAAAGATGAAGAATTTGAATGTGGTCTTCTCTTCGTTTGGAATAATGGCATCAAAATGTGATCCCATGAGTAAGAATGCTCAAGGGGTTTAAGGTTACTGCAAATGGCTTCTGTTGGAACATTTACAACACGGTTTTCTCTGACTGACACCTAGCAGCTACTGGTAACTCTGAGTGGTAACTCTGATTATACCTTATACTCTAGCAGTACTAGTGAGTTATATTTTGACCAATAATGTGCTTTTATAAAAAATTGCACTTATCTAATCTTAGGAATTTACCTCCACTGGAATGTTTTGCAAAAGTTATGGAGTAGGTTTTTAAAAACGCATATTTATTATACTTTCAGAAATGCCAATGCCAATTCTTTAATATAAACACTGACTTCCCAAAGCTGTATCTTCTCTGATTGCCAGGCCTGTCTATGCAGAAGAAATGGATGCAGACAGCTTGATTTGTTAGTCAGGCAACACTGCTCAAGAGGGATGAGGGACAGTCATTTACTGCTCTTCTCATTTGTACTGTTTCTTTGGTCACCACCATGAGCCAGACTCTCCCTAGATTTTGTTTTATCCATGTTGCTCTGCACCTTGAAAAATGCACATTATTGGCACAGTGTAGAGTAGACTTTTTTCCAAATTATGGGAAATATTTCTTAATCTGAGAACCAACCACATTTTTGGATTTTTACCTTTGTTTCAGAATACCAATTTCTGGAATTTTAAGAGATGAGTAGATTAAGATTTAAAGACTCTAAATGACTATCTCACACACGCTCTGGCATATTACTCTCGCTTCAATGAGTAGCATAAACACTGAAAAATATTTGGGGTCTGCAGATTGGAGATTATTAAGGAGAATATTTTAATTGTTGTGGACAAGAAAGAGGTGCTGTAATAAAAAATTCCTAACTGGGAATTTCACGGTGGATAGTCATGTCCCCAGGCCTATAACTTTAGTAAAAGGTTTATCTTTGCCTTAAGCCAGCCCTATCCATTGTTTCTGTGCATCTAGGTTAATACACCTTTGAAATGTCTCTTTAACCACCCTTTTAGACCCCTCCTTCCAAATTATAACCACCCTTAAGAGAGCAAATAATTTTAACTATTTTGTAATTCGATACCTGCCTTCCTTTCTTCCATCTTCATGTAATCTTCCTTAGTACACTCCTTAATTTCAAATGCATAAAACAAACTGCAAAACTTATTCTCTATAGCATTTGAGATCTTGCTCCCCAGCACATGTCATCAGTTTGGCTTAAATAAACTCATAAAAATTCTCTATAGGTTTGGACGTTTCTTCTGTTGTCAGTGTAGAGGAGTGAGTTATAAAAACCTGAACTAGGAAACTAGGAGTAATAAAGGAAGGGAAGATAGAATGATCAGAACTTGATGATAGGTGTGGAAGCCGATTTTGGAATTTTGATTAAGAAAAAGTTACTAACAAGGAAGTCTGGAAGAGGAACTGATTTGTGAAAGAGATTTAATGATTTCAATTTAGAATATTTCGGTACGAAGAACTGAAATATCTAGGTAAAGATAGTTGACTGGCAATGTAAAACAGGATCTGTGGAGTTCAGGTTAAAATTGTTATAAGATTTAGGATTGCACCAAAAGAATTGATATTTGAAAACCACAGGTACAGATGAGATTAATAAGAGATAGAATGTAGGCAGTGTGCCAAAAAACCCCACAACACACACACAGACTTAGTGTATCCCCTTATTTAATGCAGGCAAAGGAAAATAATGAAAAAAGAAGCAAGGTAGACTTTGGGAAAGGAAAAGTATGTAAAATGGCTTCAAGTGGGCTTGTTTGTAAGGAAAATAACACCTGGGCGCTGGGGGAGTCTTAACTTTGAAAAAAGGACATTTATTCCTTTAAAACAATAGTGAATGCAGACCATAAAGGAAAAATAATGTTTTGAGGTGGAGAGTATTGTCATTGGGAAGCTAAAGTTGAAGACTACGTCTCAAAGTAGGTGAGGTTATCAGCTGACTGATGTAAAAGTGCACTGAGCAGAGATGACAGTTTGCAATACCTCGGGGAATCCAAAGGCAACTGTAGAATAATAAAAAGATTAACTAAGACTGGGAGGATCTAAAATGATTTTGTAATGGATAAGATTGCATTGTCTCTTGGAGTGCCTTTCATTAGCATCAGAATAATCCTTTCTATGTACCAAATTTTCATTTTATCTAATATTTATTATATTTACTATACAATAAGAAAGGAGAAAAAAGTTAATTGGGGCCTCTGTGCAAGTTTAGAAATACTCTACTCACATTGCTAAAACCAGCCAGAAAATACGTTCTTGATGTGACTGTTGATCAACCATATTTCTTTTGGAGTAGTGAAGATTTCCCATCATATTACCAATTTGTGCTAGAATCCTTTTATAAATAGATGTATTTCTGGTGTCTTACAGTTTACTTGTAAACTCCAAAATAGTCACTTAAATGAAACTTGCTTCTCATTTATTTACCATTCTGTCATCCTTGAGAGAGATTTAGGGATCAAACGTTGCCCTTAACCTAAGTAAAATCTGAACTCATTCTGTATGTCCACATCTATGTCCAAGTGACTCTTACTGTGAGTCTACACACAAAAAATGGTTTTGTCAAAACAAAAAATTTAAAGAAAGAATCCCAGCTAGTGGATACATATGTCTTTGGCTCCACCTTCTGTTACAGAGTGAAAATGAACATCATAAGAAGTAACTGGAAAGTTATTTAATACTTTCACTTTTAATAATTCATAGTACTTTATACATATTTACTTCCTATGTCACTTGAATCCGGTGGTATATCAAGTTCAGATTTAGCCACACTGAGAGGCTTTCTTTTATGTTTCACACTGACCCTCTCTAGCCCACCCTCCATCTTGCACCCCTGCCACTTTCCTGGCCCCAGGTCACTCACCTTGAAATACTGATAAGGCAGGTTGTTCTCGCTGGTTTTCTGATCTTGCAAG